ACTGAGCGGCTCGACTAAGAAGCAGATGGCTTGGATCAAGCGCCGGGCCTCTTTGCGCACTGGCCTCTCGAATCCTCGGTGGAGCGCGGCTGAGGAGATGAGGCGTACGGCCATCCATCCGGTTGAGGTGATTCGCCGTGCTGAAGCCGAATGGTGTCCTAGATGGACGGCTGGCGAGGTCGAGGAGGGCCCTGTACAAGAGCTCCTTTCTGCACTTGTTCCTCCGTCTGGGGGCTCTCCGGCTACGCCGACCTTTTCCTCGACTCGGCTTCTGAAGGTTGCTTCCAAAATGCGTGGCAAAGCATGCGGGCCAGATGGGTGGGAAGCTTCGCACTTTCTCTCGTTGCCGGGGACGTTTTGGCGAGCCCTCGGGGATCTTTGGCAATGTGCCTTCGAGTCCGCCACGTTGCCGGCTAGGTGGCGGGAGGCCCGAGTCGCTTTGGTCCCAAAACAGACCGGAGGCTGCAGGCCCATATCGGTGCTCAGTGTGGCCTATCGCTTGGGGGCTGCTGTGTTGGTCAGGGACATGAGGGAGTGGGCCGATGGGTGGCTCGGGCACAGGATGCTGGGCGGCGTGCACCGTCGCTCGACCAGGGACGTGTTCCTCCGCATCGTCGAGGCCAGTGACGACCCCTCGGTTGTGTTCGTGGGGCAAGATGTGTCGAAATTTTTCGACGGGATACATGCTAAGCACCTGCTTCAAGTTCTTCGGTTTCTACGGGCTCCTCAGCTCTTCGTTGACTTTGTGCAGGGCGTCTTGTCTGAGCAGTGGCGCTTATTCTCCACCTGGCAGTTGGGTCGGGGCCACGTGGCATCCGGCCACAAGAGGACTCGCTCAAGGCGATCCGATGTCTCCGTTGTTGGCTGCAGCGGTGATGTCGGTTTGGACTGGCACTGTCGCTCGATCAGCCTGCGAGGCCGTGACTTTTGTCGACGACCGCAGCTTTTGGGGTCGCTCCTTGAACGCCTTGACCCAAGCCAAGGGGCTCAGCGACCGCGTGGACCGCGCTTTCCAGTTTCGGTGTGACGCCACGAAGTGCCAGGTGGCTTCGGCGGGCGGGGCCGCGGGCCCTCAAGCGGCTGCACTCTTCGGTTATGTGCACAGTTCGGAGTTCGAGACGTTGGGTGTTCGGTTTTACCTTCGGCCCGGATGCGTCCCTATGTTGGCCCGGTACTCCTTTGAGGTCGCCGACGTGAGGCTGCAGTGCATCAACGTGGTTGCCTCCGGTCTTCCCATGCAGGCCTCCTTTATCCGATCGTTGGTGCTGCCTTTGGTGTCGTGGGCTGGTGCCATGGCTAGCATCGAGAAGGAGCAGTTGCTTCAGCTTCGTCGTGCGGTGGTGGCGTCAGTCAATCACAAAAACGCTTGTGACACTCCGGCGCTGCTGCTGTGGGAGGTGCTTGGTTGGGATTGCGACCCGGTCTTCACTCGGAAATGGTCGGCTTTGCATGCAGCCATTGCCACGGCATGTCAGCCGCCGTGCTGGCTGGAGGACGCGTCCATCCAGTTTGCGACTAGGCGCTGGCCAACTTTGCTGCCGGTGGCCACGGCCGTGCTTGGCGAGCTGGGATGGTGGACTTCGGCGACGGGTGACATCATTGGTCGACGAGACGAATGCGGGCGTCTTCGGACCTTCCACATCGGCTACGACAGCGAGCTTGTCCTCAAGCAGTGGTTGGTTGACTGGCATCGCCGTGCCTCGCTGCAGGAGACCGCTCGGGTAAAGAGGCGTCTACATCGTAGCGCTCCGGATGGTGATCTTGCTCAGGGCGTTCTTCTACCTGGAGTTCCTGCTAACTCCCTGTGTGTGATGGCCGGCCATCGGAAGCTTTTTCCACCGCAGGGCGAACGGCATCTTCGCAATTCCTCGCTCGCTACTGGTTGCTCGGTCTGGGCCAAGGCGAAGAAGGGCGTCTCCGCTGAGGCGATTGCTGAGTGCATGTGCGGCCAGCGCATGCCGAGCCGTCCTCACCTCTTGTGGCAATGCAGTGGCACTGCGCATTTGCGCCCCCGATGCGCTGCACCGGTCAATCGGGCCGAGGAGCGGCTACTTTGCAAAATCGTTCCCGAGCTTCCCCCGTCGCCCTGCGTGATCGGAGAGGACGAAGTGGTTGAGGAGCTCGCGGCTGTCCTCGACCAGTTGCTGCGCGCTCAGCCCGTCGTCTACGTTGGCACCGACGGCAGCTGCATCCACGACATTGCGGCTTGGTCCGTGGCTGTGCAAGATGGCCCGGTCTACTGTTCTGGAGTCGCCGGCGAGGACCAGTCGGCCTACAGGGGGGAGGTGGAGGCCATCAGAAGGCTTCTCATGGCGGTGCAAATGGTGCAGACCACGGGGCGCTTGGTGGTCATCTCGGACTGCCAGTCGGCGATTCGTGCCGTCGATGGGTGCGGGTACTGCCGCTTGTTGGTCGAAGACGTCGCAAGGCGGTGGCAGGAGGTCAGGGCATCAGAGGTGGAGGCGACGATCCACTGGGTCCCCAGCCACGGCAAGCCGGCCCCGGCTGCTTGGCCGACGCCCCCTGGAGGCGAAATCCCGGCTCGTGTCCTCAATGGTCGGGCCGACGAGGGGGCGCGACTGTGCGCTACAAGGCGGGCCTCGGGAAGCGCCCGTGAGGCGTGCGCGGCAGCTCGCGCTGCAGCGGCTGCATGGGAGGAGGAGGCGATCACCGGCCTTGCCAAGATCGCCGCTTTCTACGACGACTGGTAGAGCGGGCTGTGAGGCCTCTAGGGCGTGGCACCCTGTGGCCGTTGACTGAAAAGCATGAAAAGCATGCGGATGTTTTCGACTTCCTGGAGCTTCGCAAGAACCACGGCAAGGAGGAGCAGCGTGCCCGCGATCTCTTCTACGGGCTCTGGATCCCGGATCTCTTCATGAAGCGGGTCAAGGACAACCAGGACTGGACACTCTTCTGCCCGAATGAGGCCTACGACGAGGAGAGCGGTAAGGGGCTCATGGATTTCTGGGGCCAGGAGTTCGAGGAACTGTACACACGCCTGGAGAGGGAGGGCAAGGGCCGCAAGACAGTCAAGGCACAGCAGCTTTGGTTCCGCATCCTCGAGTCTCAGATGGAGACAGGCACGCCTTACATGCTGTACAAAGACCATGCAAACCGGAAGTCCAACCAGCAGAACCTCGGCACGATCCATTGCTCCAACCTTTGTACAGAGATCATTGAGTACACTGCGAAGGATGAGGTAGCCGTGTGCAACCTCGCCTCCATTTCGTTGCCAGCCTTTGCCAGCTCGGATGGCACCTATGACTTCCAGCGACTCTACCAAGTGACCAAGGTGGTGACCCGAAACCTGAACAAAGTCATTGACCGGAATTACTACCCGGTGGTGGAGGCACGTAAGTCCAACCTCCGGCATCGGCCTGTGGGCTTGGGCGTCCAGGGCCTCGCCGATGCCTTCCTCATCATGAAGCTCCCCTTCGAGAGCGAGGCCGCGAAGCAGCTGAACGAGGACATCTTCGAGACGATCTACTTCGCGGCGTGCGAGGCATCCTGCGAGCTGGCGGAAACTTGCGGCCCTTACGAGACCTACGGAGGCAGCCCTGCCAGCAAAGGTCTGCTGCAGTTCGACCTGTGGGATCGGAAGCCACGCAGCGGGCGTTGGAACTGGGAAGGCCTGAAAGACCGCATCGCGCAATTCGGACTCCGGAATTCTTTGCTTGTGGCACCCATGCCGACGGCCAGCACAGCCCAGATCTTAGGCAACAACGAGTCCTTCGAGCCGTACACGCAGAACCTCTATGTTCGCCGGGTGCTTTCGGGCGAGTTCGTGCAGGTGAACCGACACCTCCTCAAGGACCTCATCCAGCGCGGTTTGTGGAACGAGGAACTCCGCGTTCAGCTAGTCGCCCACAACGGCAGCGTCCAGAAGATGGACCTGCCGCAAGATCTCAAGGAGCTGTACAAGACCGTCTGGGAGATCAGGCAGAAGGTTGTGCTGGACATGGCCGGTGACCGTGGCGCCTACATTGACCAATCGCAGTCTCTGAACATCCACATGACGGATGTGACCACTGCCAAGCTCTCCTCCATGCACTTCCACGGCTGGCAGCTAGGCTTGAAGACCGGCCTGTACTACCTCCGAACGAAGGCAGCTGCTGATGCTATCAAGTTCACCGTGGATGTCCAGAAGCTCAGCAAGACCGCCAGATCCGACAAGTCATTGGCCTCGGATTCAGATGCCTCCACAGCAGCCTCCACGAGGAAAGGCTTGGAGGCCTCTGCGATCGAAGCTCTGAAGGCTGAAGTACCAAAGTACAGCTGTGTGAATTGCAGCGCGTGAGCCAGCTTTGCACCCAATTCGCTTTACCCGGCCGATCCATGGATCATTGTGGTCACGTGCCACTTTCCTGAGGTCTCTAGAGGTTACAGATGTGCGACCTCCTGAGCTACTGACAGGACAAGAACTGATGGGTCCGCAAGGTGTCATGATCCATGTTCTGGCGATCGCTAATTCGCTGCCGCGCACAGCCACGGGGTAGAGCTGTGTAGGAAAGAGGGGACTTACTCGGACTGAAGCAAGGTGTGAAGACCACGCGTGCCTTGTTTCTCCTGATCTCCTATGTTTCACTGGGGACCTGGGTTTTCCCAGGGAAGTGGACTTCTAGAGTCCACTGGATGGGTGCCTGCACTCCGCAGGCTTCGGGAGACGCTGACATCTCTATATGAACCATTGGGCAGAAAGGGAGGGCAAATAGGGTCTTACTTTACTAGTTACCGGGGTTTGCCGCCTTTTCCTGCCTCGTCGTGCCCTCTTGGGTTCTCTCAATATGTTGGTATGTGTTTCACAACGCCGACTTCAGACCACATGCCTCGCCTGGATTGTCCGAGTGTGAGGGCAGAAATTCGGACGCAACGTGCTTCCCGTTCGAACCGAACTAGCCTCGCCTGCATGTCGAAGTTGCGAGAGTCCAAATTCGGACGCCCACGCGCAAGCTGCAATCCGAATAGCCGCAGGCATGTCATTTGGACAGCCTAACTGGCAGGTCCAAAGAGTGCTGAGACCACGTGGCACGTGCCCTGCCTACTCTGCATGGGTATCGTTATGTGACATGTCGACACAGTGGCAGTGTTTTCCACTGGAACTACACACTGATCGCTGATTCTACCTCGATGTGCACGGTGGCAAGAGAAGGACTGCAGTTTGGTGAGCTTGCGCAGCCATTTCTGTCCAGGTTGTAAGTCAGGTGTTTTGGGAGCTTCCAGCGGAACCGTTCGCTTCGGAATCCCATCCATTCATATAGCGAGTTTCCCTATTCGTGGGCGACTCGGTGCTAGAGCAGCAGGCTTCTGGCTGCTCTGCCCTTGATCAGCCGAGGTCCCTGCCATACCATGAGCCACAACACAAGTCCTGGGCCGATCGGGTGGCTCGGCTAGCTTGTCGGCTCCGGGAGGGTGGATGCCGGGTTTTCACATCTGTTGATCTTGTCAGCCACCGCTGTCTTCATGCCTTACGTTGTTTGTGTCATCTGTTTATAGCCCCTGCCACCGACACGTGTGGACCCTGGAGCAAAACATCCAAGGCCAAGCTTATCTCTAATATTGCTTCTGTTTTGCTGGAGAAGGTGATCCTGATTCCACCCTTCTTTGGAATCGGCCATTGCCACCATCGCCACCATGATGACGGTGTTGATCCACAACGGCTGCCTCTACAGTTTCTGTTGCTGTTGCTGCTGCTGCGGCTGCTGTCGCTGTTTCTTACTGCTACTATTTCGACGACGACAACGACGACGACGATCACTGCTTCTACCGCTGTTACGACTACTCCGACTCCTTCCTGTTGTACTGCTGCTGCTGCTGCTGCTGCTGCCACTGCTATGCCTGCTGCTGCTGCTACTACTACTGCTGCTCCTCCTCCTCCTCCTACTACTACTACTACTACTACTGCTACTGCTACTGCTACTGCTACTGCTACGACTATTACTCCTACTACTACTACTACTCCTACTCCTACTCCTACTCCTA